GCACGTGCGCGTGTGTATTTATACACGTATGTATACCACATCTTCTTTATCCAGTCATCTATTGATAGACATTTAGGTTGCTTCCATGTCTTGGCTATTGTAAATAGTGCTGCTATGAACATTTGGGTGCATGTATCTTTTCAAATTAGAGTTTCCTCCAAATGTATGCTCAGGACTGGGATTGCTGGATCATATGGTAAGGCTGTTTCCAGTTTCTTTAAAAATCTCCATACTATTTTCCATAATGTCTGTGCCAAACTACATTCCCACCAGCAGTGTAGGAGGGTTCCCTTTTCTGCACACCCTCTCTGGCATTTATAGTTTGTGAACTTTTTAATGATGGCCATTCTGATTGTTGTGAGGTGATACCTCATTGTAGTTTTGATTTGCATTTCTTTGATAATTAATGATATTGAGCATTTTTTCATGTGCCTATTGGCCGTTTGTATGTCTTCACTGGAGAAATGTTTATTTAGGTCTTCTGCCCATTTTGGGGTTGAGTTGTTTTGGGTTTTTTTTTGGTCATTGAGTTGCATGAGCTGTTTGTATATTCTGGAAATTAAGTCCTTGTCAGTTGCATTGTTTGCAGATATTTTCTCCCATCCATAGGTTGTCTTTTCCTTTTATTTATGGTTTCCTTTGCTGTGCAAAAGCTTATAAGTTTAATTAGGTCCCATTTGTTTATTTTTGCTTTTATTTCTGTTGCCTCAGCAGACTGCCCTAGGAGAACATTACTGGGATTTATATCAGAATGTTTTGCCTGTGTTTAAGAGGCCAATGTTTTTGTTGAATATGGGACTGCAATTGGAATGCTTGAATGAAAACAGTGTATATAGTAAGAAAGGAACAAATGAAACAGTATCCTCTGTCTTTATATCCCTAGTAACACAGCAAGCCTTCCAAATCTGATTTTAGACATTTTGAATACCAATTGGGCTCACATTTCAAACAAGAGATTTGAAATAGTGCTCTGAATCATTAGCTCTTTCAGTTGCCTCTCAACTGCCGTGTAAATCGTGTCCTATGTGCTTGTTTCATGTGCCCATAACCAACAGGATTCTTTACTTTTACATCCCTCCTTTCTGTCCTTATCCCTCTTTTTGAACCACAGACAGTGCCCTCCAGCCCAACTCAACAGACTGATGCTGCCATGATGTTATCTGACTCATTCCAGCATTGGGTACAGACCACTACTTCCTCACACGGTACCCAGTGCCTGACCCCATCCTGACCTCCCCCACGAAGCCTTTCCTGTTTGCCCATTCTGCAGCTGCCTCCTTTTGGAGATTTGTTTTCTAGGGTTCCACTCTCAGCCCCCTTCACATCCACCTGCACCCTCTCTGGGAAATGCCATCTACTCTCACAGCTTTTTCACCTCTAACTGCCTAGTGTTTACAAACCCACATGCACCATGACTCCTCCCCTGCCCGCTGAGGGAAACCCAAACTTGATTGTGGCATAGATGCCTCTAACCACACTATAAGGGCACACGATGTCTTATTCATCTTTAAATTCACATTATCCAGCCAGGTGCAGACTCAGTGGTCCCTTGGTAAAGACTTGTGGAAAGGAGACATTCCTCTAACTAACCAAATTTCTTTGAGTTTCCTTTCTACCCCCTCTTCTTCCTAGAACTCTTGCCCTGCCCTACTCAGGATTCTGACCCTCATCTACTCATACTGTGTAGTCAGTCTAGAGCAAGAGAATGTCCACTCCTTTCTTGTTCATTCAATCCATCTGCCTCAATCCAGTGCCTACACTGGCAGAAAGGTCCCAAGAGGTGGAAAATTATTATCACCATTATCCACAAACCCTGATACAAAAATCTTGCCTACTTGTTGAATCTATGACGTTTGCAGATGACCTACGTAAGAATTACCCTTTTCTTCCTGTTCTATATTTATATCACTTTATACGTGGCCCATGGTGGGATGACCAAGAGTCTGTGGAAGTCTGCCCTCCCACAGTGTGTTCTCAAAGGACTCAGTCTCTGTTTTGTGTCCAACCCTCAGCTCATTCCCTAGGCCGCAAGCAGGGATTCAGAAATGTACACTCAGTAAGACTGTGCCCTCAAGCTTACAATTTGGTAGGGGAGATAAGATACGTACATGATTCTGAAGTATGTGGCAAAGGATGGTAAATACAGGGACAGTGTTACGTCCCTTTGTGGCCTGACAGGACAACAGATTTTCAATAGATAGAGAATTTATGGATGAACAGTTTTTGCGGTTGGGAAGGAGATACGGCTTTCATTTTGAGGTGAGTTAACATTGGAATAGAGCCATGAAGGATAAGCAGTATTTTTACAGACAAGGAGAGGCAAAGGAGTGAGAGGAGTGTATTCCAGGCTTAGAGAAATGTAGAAGGTGGGTGGGTAGTCATCCAGTTTACTAGAGGGTTGGAGAGGACCGACTGCAAAGGTGGGTTGGAACAGGTGGAAGATGGCCTTCGTGTCACACCAGGAGAGTAAACTTCATTTTGTAGTTAATCCAAACCTTCAGCAGTATTTTGAGTGGGAGTATGACACACACACACAGCTTATTTTAGGGAAACTGATGTCACAGTTCACAGCTGGATCCCCCAGTGCCCAGAGTACTGCCTGGCACATAGTAGGCCCTCCATAAATGCCTTGAATATTTATGGGACCACACTGAGAGCTGTCATTTATTGATGTAGATTTGTAGGGAAGGACAACCATTTGGATCCAGTATTTTTAAGTTGACAAAAATGCCCGTAACTTCCTTCTCAACTTTCTTTCTCTCACTACATTTGTGATTACTGTTCCAACTATCATTCTTCTCTGTGATGACTCCTATTAGAAACAGAAATCCACCTTCTTGTATGTCCTCTTCACTGAGTTCTTCCCTCCATAGCTACACAAAATAAAGTTGTCTGATCCAGCCATTGTTCACACGACAGTGTGTCAAGCCTTGTGAACAGTCATCATGTACAGGTTTCTCTTTTCCAGGTAAAAAGTCCTCAGCCCGTTCACCTATACGATGTATTTATCACCATCCTCGTCACTCCTCTGGAATTGGCTAAGTGTGGCAATGTCCCTTAAACACATGACATCAATATTGAACAGTAAGTCGAGAAATGTGCTAATTAGTCCATTTTTCTGGCTCTAAAGTCTCTGGAATGATCCTCAACTAGTCATCTACCTAAAACTACCTTAAAATGTCCGGTATTTTACTTCAGGCACATTTCCCATTTCCGCATCTCCTACCTCCATCCCTTCCCAGTCCAGTCCCTCATCAGCCTAGGCCTGCATCCTGTGTCCCCCTTTTCCACTTCCTTGCCTGCTGCTTCCAGACCTGTCCTCTTACACCATGCTGCCATGTGTGGGTCAGCAGACACTCACTGAGCCTTTGTGATGAGCAGGCACTGTTTCAGGGCATTGTTTATGAGGAGGGCAAAGCCTTCACTCAGCTGTGACAATATGCAGAGGGGTGCACTGTAGCACGGACTCACACCCAGGGCTGAGGATGGAGACGGGCATTCCAGCATCGGTTTATGGAGATGGCATTTGGCCAACATTTTAAGAATGGGTGGAATTAAACGCAGAGTAGAAGAGCATTCCAAATTCACCAGAAGCTAGGGGGAGAGGCGTGGAGCAGATTGTTCCTCATCCTTCCTCATCCATTCTTCCTCTTCCCCAAAGGGCCAAACCTGCGGACACTTGGCTTTAGACTTCTAGCCTCCAGAACTGTGAGAAAATAACTTTCTCTTGCTTAAGCCACTTAGTTTGTGGTACTCTGTTATAGCAGCTCTAGGAAACTAATAGAAGCCCCAAACTAGGAACAACCCGGATGTCCATCAGCTGTATTTATTCAGTAAAACAGGTAAATCAACTATGGTATATCACACAATAGAATACCTTATAGTAACAAAAATGAACTAGCCACAACCACACTCAACAACATGAATTTTAAAATGTTAAGCAAAAGACTCAAGACTTAATAGCACGATTCCATGTATATAAAGTCAAAACTAATTTATGGTGTCAGGATTATGGTTACTCTCTGTATGGGAGCAGAGACAAGAAGTGGGCCAAGGGTCTTTTGGGGTTCTGGAAATATTCCAGTTCTTAATATGGGAACGGGTTGCATAGGTTTTTTTCAGGTGATAAAAATATTTGATCTGTACACTTACGAATTGCATATGTTCCTGTATGTATGTATATTTCAATAAAAAGTAGAAAGAAAGAAAAAAGGGGGCAGATGAGTGTTCCAGGCTGACCCCGGGGAAAGACTTGAGGGATTTAACTGTATACTCATTTAGGGAACCACTGAGCAGAGCAAAGGGGTTAGAGTTCTGGATGGGTGACAGAATATGTGGTACTAAGTGACCTCGAGAGGAAGATAAGGGCTGGTAAAGAAGTGTACTGAGAGCCATCATCTGGCGTCTGATAGGCAGCCCTGAACAGGGGACGGCCACTTTCCAAATGCGTTTCTGGAAAACAACACTAATAGCACCTCTCGGTGGAAGACGACACTGCATAGAGAGCTCAGCCAGCAAGCGCTTGGAGAGAGAGCTGCCAAGTGGGCCAGGAGTACCCCCAACCGAGGCAGTGCGATTTAGAGGGATCCGTTAACCTGCGGGAGCCTCGTTGGCAGGGCAGTGGCGAGGATTAAGCCAACAGGTATTAAGTCTGGCCTCACTGTAAGAAGTCACTAATTTACTGCCGGGACTGTTTCGGTGGGTGGACCCGGAGGCCACTCCGCGCCGGACGCCCGCTGCCCCTGCGGCAGCACCCGCAGGGACACAACTTCGGCTGCCCAGAGGGCGCGCGAGCCTCAGGAAGACCTGAGGCTGCACCCCTGACTCCGCCACCGGGCCGCGAGGCGGTGAGTGTGGCTCAGTGCCTTTCCCTCTGATTGGGCGAGAAGAGGCCAGCGGGCGGAGACAAGAAAGGAGGAGGCAGGGATTGGTTAAGCCTGGGGAAAAGGCAGGGCCTTGGCAAGAGAGTCCCAGGTTCCCCCCGTGAGTCCCGCCCCCTCACTGGGACTGCGGCCTAGGCGGGCGAGGCTGAACTGTTCCCGCGGAGCGTTCTTAGCGTCTCCCAGTCTTCCAGCAACCGCTGACGCGACCCGCGTGCGGCCGACCACTGGCCAACCCGGGAGAGCAGGGCTACAGCGTGATCCCCTATCCCGAGGCGCCTCCCAGCTCTCCCCACTCGGCGGCCGCGCGCTCCGCCAGCTTCTTCTCTCCTTCCCCGCCCCAGCCCCGCAAATCCGGGGGTCGGCGAGCCGGCTGAGTGGGAGACGCGCGGTGTCCGAGGAGCCAGGCGGCGACCGGTGAGGGGACCGAGGGGCTGGGAGGGAGGGTTGGCACGGGGCAGCGGTCCCCAAACTGTCGCCCGGCTTCTTCCCTCCGCCCCAGGCTGCTCGCGTCTGCCGCCGTCTAGA